ATTATTATTATTATTATTATTATTATTATTATTATTATTATTATTATTATTATTATTATTATTATTATTATTATTATTATTATTATTATTATTATTATTATTATTATTATTATTATTATTATTATTATTATTATTATATATTTACATCATGAAATAAGCTTTCCATTGATGTATGGTTTGTTAGGATAGGACAATATTTGGCCGAGAAATAGAAATCCGAGAAATCTGGAATCTGAGGGTGCAAAAAAATCTAAATATTGAGAAAATCGCCTTTAAAATTGTCCAAATGAAGTTCTTAGCAATGCATATTACTAATCAAAAATTAAGTTTTGATATATTTACGGTAAGAAATTTACAAAATATCTTCATGGAACATGATCTTTACTTAATATCCTAATGATTTTTGGCATAAAAGAAAAATCAATAATTTTGACCCATACAATGTTTTTTTTGGCTATTGCTAAAAAATATACCCAAGCGACTTAAGACTGGTTTTGTGCTCCAGGGTCACATATATTTGTATATGGTCAGGAAATGAACAATTGACTTAAAGTATGAGAAAATAGTAATAGTAATAAAATATGTAGATAAATAAAAAAACTAAAATTAAAAATGCAAGAAAGAAGAACATTGTGGGGGGGGAGGAGGCATGAGGCATAAAATAAGTGAGTGTTAGTTTGATTTGAAAGAGGAAAGGACAATAAATGACAGAGGAACTGAAGTCTGTCTGGTACATAGAGTGTTGAGCGATGCTGATGTGATCTTGATGTTGCTCTGGTCTGCAGGCGAGTGAATACAGCCTCCCTGCATTAAACGCAGGCCTGGATGAAGTCAAACCCAGTTTATCCTCCGGCACGACCTCTGACCTGGGCGTCAGCGTGTCACAGAGCTACCCTCTAGGTAAGATCACATGATCAGTCCCATTCATGACCATTCACCCCCTCACATTCAGCTCTAATAGCTAATTAGTTATGAACAAATTCTCACACTGTGGCCTTGTGCAGTTATAATAATCAAGCGTAGTGTCAGTTCTGTCAGGTCACATTAGTCAAGCTCGCATCAGCTGACTCTCAGCTGATCCATGTCTACCCATAGGGATGAGACACCTATCACAGCACCATATATAAGGGCCTTCAGTATTATCACCAGCGTTCGCATTGCTCAATAGCTAATTACCCTCCTCCATCCCCAGCTCCTCCTCTCGTCAGTCAGGATTCGATCTTCTGAATCAGATTAATTTCTAAAATGTTACATTAATGAACTTTTATGATATCTGCAATACATTTATGTTGGTTCTGTTCCATTTACCCTGGGGGGTTATCGCTGCTCTCCCTTCTCTCATACATGCTAGGCTGCATGGATGTGCAGTAGGGCTGTGTATCACCAGCAAAGTCACGATACGATACGTATCACGATACAGAGGCCACGATACGATGAGTATCACGATACAGGACTGCACTGAATTTCACCTCAGCAGAATTTAGAAAAACAGCTGGCGTGGCAGAGCGTCCGGCGCCAGGCCCTCACTCGATGAATCCTTGAGAACCGGTAGAGGGCTGGGTTCCATATGTAGAGACCTAAATGGATCCCAAATGTGTAAAGTCCACGGTATAGCCTCAGAGCCCGTGTTTCCCCGGCCGACTGCCATTTCCAAGAGGGTTACAAATGGATGTCATATGTGTAACTGCTTCCGAAACTTCCTTCGGGCTTCCGCAACGTTCCTGTTCCAAGTGGAACGGGTACGTTTTCCCAGTGTTATCCAATCTCACTGAGTGGGTAGTGCTATGACAACAGTGACTGGTGTTCTTGTTGTGGGCAGCTGGATGCAATTATCGCATGCCAATGAGCATTGGCTCGTTTAGTTTACACTCAAAGTGGATTGGTCTCTCTAAGCGAGATCCCAATTAGTCGGTCACGACGTGACGTCTCCGTTCCCTCCTTCAGGGAACGGGGGTTACATACTTAACCGAGATGTTTTATCTACATGCATGAATTAGATCTGCAGTTTTAAAACTCTCATGTGTAGTGATATTGGTCTTATAACGAACGTAATGAAACCAGCTTCAGACTAACGAGCTGTTGCACAGAGGACGTTGGATCCTTAACTGCTCTATCACAGCGCTGAGCTTCAAAATGATATCAAATATTAACATTTACATAAACAAATTCATCATTTGCTCATGGCAGACAGGGAACGTGGGGTATTTGTTTCTCTGTCTCTCTCTCTCGCTCGATCGCTCTTGTTAATAATAAATGATGGGATGGTTAATTAAAACGTAGTGTGCTTGTTTTGCCATTTATTAATGTGAAATGTGTGAAGTTTACTGACAGTTTTACGATCGTCTTCAGGTCAAAGATAAATATACACTGCTTTTATTAAAATTCACATAATTACGCTAAAGCCATTACAGCCATCGCTGTGTGTGTTTGGCTGATGACAGAGAGAGAGAGAGAGAGAAAGAGAGAGAGAGAGAATGTGGGTTTGTAGTTGGCAGACTCATTATCTGTTCATGGTAGTTTCACGTCACAATCAGATTTGTGTATTGTTTATATTAATCAGGTATGAATGTAATAATCAGGTTAATGTGCCATCATTTACTCACCTTCATGAGCCCCAAACTCAGTCCACTTTCTTTCTTTTGTGGAACACAAAAGGAGATGTTATGAAGAATATATATGAAAATGAATGCTGTCAAGTAAAAATAAATAAAGACAAAACCACCTTTAAAATAGTCCATATGACATACAATGCATAAGTTTTGTATTTGGTATTCCAGTTTAAACATGCATGATAAACTTACCAAATAGAAATTCAGAATTAAAACAAAAATATTTAAATGATTTCCATTGGTTAGGCTGAGATCCAGTGTTTAGATGAATGGTTTCCTTAACGGAAAAGAAACACAGATTACACTCACCCTCCATGTTTTCCAACCCCAATTAAAATGCCCACAGTTATTGATCTTGTTGATTTTATGCAAGGGAATTTGCATAATCTATTAAAAATGAATGATTCATGAAGCAGCCGGTGCCAGACGAGATGAGGGTTTTTGGTGAACTGTGAATACCTCACAGATACACATCTTTTATGTTCGCAGCTTGTCCTATAAAAAAATGCACTTCCTGCAAAAACAAATAAAAAAATAAAAATGTATATATATAAAACAAAATAAAATAACCTGCTACAAAATCTATGCTTTGATAAAAAATATAATTGTTTATCTTTATATAAAACCCTTACTGCCTGCAAAAAATGTAGATAAATTATACAAATATGTAATATTATATAAAAATAATTATATATTTATAGGATTTGTAATTATTAAATTTATAGTAAAAATTATATTGTAAAATTTAGTAAAATATTTAGTAAAAATATATAATTATTGTCCACTTAAACAGCTTTAACACTGGTCTACTGCTTCTGCTGAACTTTTTCCAGTTATAATGAAAATGCTACAGGGAAATGCAATGAATTTGTCACCTTAAAAGAAGCAGTAGTTTCTTTCTCTTTCTCTCTCTCTTCCTGACAAACTGGCTATCCGTGTCCGCACCTGAGGGCACCACGCTCCTAGTCACACAAATTAATGCTTATTCCATCTTCACAAAAAGCAAACTAACCTTTGAGCACACATTTGATAACAAACGACTTTCACCGTGCATCCAGGGAATTAGGGCAATTTGGCTCTCCAAACATCCTTTGCTTAGTTGTAATTAATTAGGGTGCCGTGTTTTTTGGCTGGTGATAAATTGCTGCATCCTGAATGTAGAAAATAGAGGTCAAACGTTTCCCATAGCCTTGTTGTTGGAACATTAAGGTGTCCCTGTCATGGCAAATTTAATACAGCGATGTTGAACCAAGTGTTCGCACTCAAACCTTTCGACTTTTTCAGATAATTCTAAGGTCACCCTGATTTTTAGCAAAGAGGTTTAGAAAATTCAATAGGCGTTACGTGTTTGTTGCCTGTAGACAGATTACTGAATCTAGCCATGCCATTTCTCAGTATTTCGTAAGTCAGAAACATACTCAAGTATTCAATCAAGTGCACTCGAAAGAGAAAATGAACTGTAGGAGAAGATATTTCACATTCATTTGTGGTTAATTAATTTGAATGTTACATTAAAAATGGACACTAACAAGCTGTCCATTTCAAATTTCTGAATTTGCTGAAAATTTAACACTACATCACCAATGGATGCTCTGCAGTGAATGGGTGCCGTCAGAATGAGAGTCCAAACAGCTGATAAAAACATCACAACAATCCACAAGTAATCCACACCACTCCAGTCCATCAGTTAACATATTGAGAAGACAAAAGCTGAAACAGATCCATTATTAAGATGTTTTTAACTTCAAGCAGTTGCTTCTAAAATCCACAATCCATAGTATTGATTTCTCCAGTGAAAAGTTGTCTGGTCTGAATCAGGAGAGAAATCTGCACAGATCAAACGCCGTTTACAAGCCAAAACAGCTCTAAAGAAATATGTGAATGGATTTTGATGTGAGAGACAACAGCAGATGGACTTTTTCTCTGAAGGAAGCGTTATTATGGATTATTGACTCATATTTTAGCTGAAGCAACGGTTTGAAGTAAAAAACATCTTAATGATGAATTTGTTTCTTACAAGTACACAGCTTTTGGCTTCTCGAGATGTTAACCGATGGACTGGAGTGGTGTGGATTACTTGTGGATTATTGTGATGTTTTTATCAGCTGTTTGGACTCTCATTTTGACGGCACCCATTCACTGCAGAGCATCCATTGGTGAGCAAGAGACATAATGCTACATTTCTCCAAATTTAATGAAGAAACAAACTCATCTACATCTTGGATGGCTTGATGGCTTTTCTTTGGTGAACTATTCCCTTAATGGTTTGTAATATTTGGTTTAAATAAACAAATTAAAAAGTATGATGCTTTTGTCAGATTTTTGTCTTGTTCAAGTGTATTTTTAGCTGCTGTTTAGCCTTTGCACTGCGCTGCTTGTTTTTTTGTTTTTTTTCTGCTCATTGGCAAACCGTCCTGGTCCACACAGGATTACACTCGCTGAGCTATGATGGACACTGTCCTGCTCATTAGAATTGAACCGGTGGCCAAGTTTCCCCCAGCGTCCCCAGTAAACCATCCACATCTCCCCCAGCCCCCCTTTCCTGAACAAAAACATTAGTCTGTGAGGGGTGTCAGGCTTCAGCGCTTGGCTGGGTCGAGGCTTCACGGCGTTGGGTAGGACAGCCAAGCGTCAGCCCCAATTATTGCTCTGAATGTGGAGCTTCTTAGTGCTAAGAAAGAAGAGACATTGACTGTTTGGCGGAGGCCGGTATGGGCCGGTCGGTTTGACCCTGCTTACATCTGTTCTCTGTTCTGACCCCAAAAGGACAAGAATAAATCCTTTGATACACAGTGGTTCTGCAAATGTAGCTGCTGTGTTTCTGTCTCAAAAACAGATTCTGTATTATTTAAATGATTGAAATCATTATTTCAACAACAGCACTCTTAAAAATAAAGGAACCAGAATGAGTTTGTTTTGCATTGATGCCATAGAAGAACTATTTTAGGTTCCACCTTTCAGTGAACAGTTCTTAAAAGAACAATTATTTGTTTCTTACATTTTAATAATATAAAGACCCTTTTTCCATTATAAAGGACCATTTGTTCAATGGAACGGTTCCATGGATGTTCTCTCTATTTGTAAGAGTGAAGTTCAAAATTAATTTGCAATCTATTGAGAATCAGCTGAATGAATTATTGTTTATGGATGGAACAGAAAGTGAGTGTTGGTGTGATTTATGTGTGCAGGTCGGGATATGGCCAACACAACCTTACCTGGATATCCACCTCACGTCCCTCCCACCGGGCAGGGCAGCTACCCAACATCCACACTGGCTGGAATGGTTCCTGGTGAGTATCTCGAGACAGAAAACGGTGCTTGCAATTTCAATGACATTTAAAATGACAGTTTTTTAAAGTACTACAGCTGCTCAAGACATTATTTTCCACCAAAATAAAATAATTTTATTTTAAAGGCACAGTATAAAAACAATGCACTGGAGTTTATATTTATCATCAAAAAAAAGTTAGTCATTAAGATTTTTTTTTTATAAATACCTAAAAAAAAAAAAGTCATTTTTCCAAACATTTTCCTATCTGCCATTTATCTTACAAAAATAGAGAACCCACCCCCAACTGATACTATTTCATTTATTCTCTTAGTAATTAATACGTTTATTCAGCAAGGACACATTAAATTGATCAAATGTGACAGTAAAGACATTTATAATGTTACAAAAGATTTCTATTTTGCTCTTTTGAACTTTCTATTCATCAAAGAATCCTGTAAAAAAAAAAAGAATCACAGTATCCACACAAAAATGTAAGCACGTTTCTTGATGTTTCTTGAGCAGCAAATCAGCATGTTAGAATAATTTCTGTATTGAATATTGATGCTGAAAATTCAGCTTTGATAAATTACATTTTAACATATATTCAAATAGAAAACACTTTTTTATAATTGTAATAATATTTCACAATATTAAAATTTTTTACTGTGTTTTTGATTAAATAAATGCAGCCTTGGTGGGCAGAAAAGGTGCCTTTCAAAAATGTTTAAAAATCTTACAAATGCCAAACTTTTTAATAGTGTAGCTGTCTAAGCACATTAAACTGGAATACAATACAAAGTATTTTAACATTAAGAAATGACACATTCACAATCAAATAAAAATTATTTCATAATTTCCTCGCCTTCCACTTGTTTTAAATCTGTATGAGTTTCTTTCTTCTGCCGAACACAAAGGAAGATATTCTGAAGAATGTTGGTAATCAAACAGTTGCTGGTAGCCGTTGACTACAATAGTATTTTTCCGTACTATAGAAGTCAATGGCTAACTTCTCTAAACCGATGAAAGCTTAAATAATAAAATATTAGACTGGCTTACATTTATGAAGTGACCAGACACTGATACCAATCTGACTCAATAAAAGAAGTCTCGTAGTGTTTACAGCAGCCTGCAGACATTCACAGAAGCAGCATTTCACCGGTGTGTGAATGCAGGAAGCCTTTAACTATAGACCATCAAACCGCAATTGACAAAAAATTAACTGGTCTAACAGATTTCCAGACGAAAGGCATTTTGTGATCACTGAGCTCAAACTAATTCGTAAAATGTAGTTCGATCTTGCATTATTTTTAGCCGCTCCAGGTAATAAGAGCAGCAGAAGCAGACTCTCTGCAGACGTGCTGCTTCACAGAGAGATTTACTGACAGCCCTCAATGCGGCCGGCGCATATAAAAACACCTCTTTATTATCCCATAAAAGAGAAACAGCGTTGGACCAACATTGTTCAGCACGACGCTCTGACTTTCTTCCTGCACAATCAAATTACACAATAGAGAAAGAAACTTTGGAGAAGGAAGCAGCACAGTAGTGCAGTCAGTCAGCAGGACACAGTGGGTTTTAGAAATCAGACATTACAAATCTCTGTTTTGACATTTTTCAAAAAAGTTTTCATTTTCAGCAACTGTGATGTCAAATGGATGGTGCATTATTTTAACATGCATGTCTGTGTCCCATTTCAGGGAGCGAATTTTCAGGGAATCCCTACAGCCATCCACAGTACACAACCTACAATGAAGCCTGGAGATTCAGCAACCCAGCAATACTGAGTGAGTGTCTGCCTCTTACAGAAATGTACCATAGTTTCTGTCAAAATATTATATTTGTTACAAACAATAAATAAATAAAATGAAAAAGCAATAAATATTTTTTACATACATTTAATTTTAAAATATTACTTTAATATATATAATTTTAAAATTAAATAAATAAATACATACAATTCAAAATGCAAACAAACAAATAAATAAATAATAGAAAGCGGTAAATTGTAGTCACTGTAACTGGTTAACGGTCTGTTGAGAGCCAGAAATTAATGAACAGTCCCTTAAGATTTAAAAGAAATTAATGCTAGATAATAAATCATTAGCAGTCCCATTTACAGATTTTTCTGATTTTAGCCAAAACAATAGAATCTGCTACAGCTTTTCTCATTTGTGACTTTTTCTAGTGTTATGCATTGAATCTTTACCAATAATAATCATTATGTAATTAATGTAAATGCAGTAACAGTGAACGTTTTAGTGCACAAGCTAAATGTTGTAAGCATCCAAATATTAACTGAAATGACATGACATATATTTGTGTTTTCTGTAAACAACATGATAAAACTATTGAAATTGTGTTCAAATATTCTCCCAGTCATTTGCATAATCAGTTCAACTTAAATGGTTTGTAATGCATCTTGGGTGAAGTTTATTACATGTAAAAATTTAAAAAATTGGTATCATTGTAATCGGTGGAATTTGCATTAATTATTGTGAAAGCAAAATAACAATATCATATAATAATATGATACTTAAAACAAATATGCATTTAATATATTAATATGCAGCCATTGTCGTGGTATATTGAAATGGTACATTCCTTTCTTATTAACTTTCAGGTTCCCATTATTATTATAGTGCATCCCGAGGCTCCGCCCCCCCAACTGCTGCCACTGCCTATGACCGCCACTAGTTACCACGGAAACCAAATTAGGCCGCACGCCCATGGACTCGGACTTCATATTCTGCCAGTGTGAGCAGTGCAGCTGATTGGACATCATGCGGTCACATGATGAAGAACAGGCCAATCAGGAACAAAAACATCTCAATGACAATTCAGCCATTCTCAAGAGTCCCAACGGGCTCGACGATATGGAAGCCCGTTTATAATACTATAAACTCGCAATTCTGACATTTTTCTCGGAATTGCGAATTCATATCTTGCAATTCTGACTTTATAACACACAATTGTGAGTTATAAAGGCAAAATTGAGAGTTATAAAGTCAGAATTGCGAGATATAAACTCGCAATTGCGAGTTATAAAGTCAAAATCGCGAGTTATAAAGTCGGAATTACGAGATATAAAATCGCAATACTGACTTTCTTTTTTTCTCAGAATTGCGAGTTATAAAGTCAAAATCGCGAGTTATAAAGTCGGAATTGCGAGATATAAAATCGCAATACTGACTTTCTTTTTTTCTCAGAATTGCGAGTTATAAAGTCAAAATCGCGAGTTATAAAGTCGGAATTGCGAGATATAAAATCGCAATACTGACTTTCTTTTTTTCTCAGAATTGCGAGTTATAAAGTCAAAATCGCGAGTTATAAAGTCGGAATTGCGAGATATAAAATCGCAATACTGACTTTCTTTTTTTCTCAGAATTGCGAGTTATAAAGTCAGAATTGCAAGATATAAACTCGCAATTCGGAGAAAAAAAGTCAGAATTGCGAGTTTATATCACACAAGTCAGAATTGTGAGATAAAAAGTCGCAATCACCTTGTTTTATTTTTTTATTTAGTGGCGGAAACGGGCTTCCATAGGATGAGGAAAAACCGATAAACGAACAATAAATGTATATCTCAAAGACTGAGGGTAAATATGATTTTTAAAACGGAATTAACATCTGCTTTTTTAAATACTTTTATATTTTGTCCTCTCATTAATATCATTCATCGGTATTCATACTTAAAGTGCTTCTAGCATGTATATATGTATTGGTTTGTTTGGATAGACACTGAAATGAATCACATCAACGGTTGGACTTATTTTTTTTTATGAAAATTGTTAATATGTAAAAGCATTTTCATTTCAGATTGTACTTTTCAATGTCTATCCAAATGTACAAAAATGTCTAGACTTTATTTATGAATACATATATTATATAAACGAACACATCTGGACAAGGAAAACCGTTCCAACGCATGGTTGTAGATTCTCTGGACTGCGCGAAAAACGAGCAGTAAAACTCAAAACTTGACTCTCCACTCATCGCACAGTAAACTATTACTCAATACAGCATGTACTCAAACTCAGCATGGAAATACAAAGCAAACAGGCCTTCTCCACGCTCTCAACGCCAGCAGAAGATCTCTAGCACACTTCTGTGAGAAACAATCAGATACCAACAAGAAAGAGATGAAACCGGGCAAGAAACAGAGAAACTGTCAACCCTGGTCCTACCGAGACCAGATTTGATGATAAGTGAAAGATACATTTTTGTATGTTATTTATTTGTTTTTTATAATGACAAAAGTATCATGAAGAACTCTACAGTATGCATGGATTATTTTCATTCATTATGCATTTTTATGTGTTTATCATAGATCAAATTATGTCAGATTCTCAGGGGGGAATTCACTAATAATGTATGATAGATTTAGCACTTGATTTGTGCAAAACACTGCAAACACTATTTCAGCCAGATGCATAATCATAAGTCATTATGTCAAGACTGTTACTATGGATTCAGATTTTTCAAATTCAAAAATTCCAATTCAAATCTTTTTATATAATTGACTTCAATAAAAGTTCTGACCAGGGAAAACAATAGATGACTAACTTTTAAGACTAGTCTAAGCGGTTTATGCAACTGACCACTGGTCAGGTTTTTGTGCTGAAATACAGATGCAGACACGGTTTAGTGAATTCACCCCTCGGTGTTATTGTTTGCACTATGGGTTGTGCTCTTTATGAGATGTCTTGAGTGAATAAACAGTGAACTTACTCTTCGGTCGGATTGGATGCTGAGTATTTTGCTCAGAATTTTTGAAGCATTTGAGAAAACAAACATGTACTACTGATCAGATGAAGCACTTAAACCTCCAAATGTGTTTACAGAATAGTTAGCAGCTGTTCAATTAATCAACAGATGGGTTGGTCACTGGTTATCGGCTTTATGATTTACTTTTCAGAACTCTGCTTTGGGAACGTCAAGCTGTTTCAGTAACGTAAAAAAAGCCCTTTTGTTCGATGCTTTACAACAAGTGCAATTCTGCAAATTGTTTTTCATAATCACGTACTGTACGCTCCAGTTCGAGTTCATGTTCTGGCGAAACAACTTTAGTTTTCATCGAATACGTTACAGTTGAGAGAATGTACTTGTATCACATTTGCCAAAGACTTTTTGTTGATGTATATTTTTATTTACAGTCTGCTGTTGCATTGTACAAACAGTATTATAGTGAAAACATTTTCAATGTATGTACAAATCCTATGCAGAGCAAAGAAAATCTGTTGTATGCATAAACTATAAAACTACTGACATGTTCATTATTTATGTTATTTTGTGAAATAATAATTTTTTTAATAATTTGGTGTGAAATGTCATTTCTGTACTGTAAATACATTCTGATCAAATCTATCCTGTCTCTCTGGTTTCATCTGTAGAGAACTCAAATGACTTACAGACACACACAGGTTGAATACAAACAGGAATACTCGAATATATACATAATGCATCTAACAGCTTCTAAATCAAAGCAACACATTGTCTTATTTATTTATTTATTTTTATTTTGAACACTTTACTTTCTGGACTTACCAAACTTTACTGCCACTATAGTCTAGAGCAGTGTTTCCCAACCTTTTTTTAGTCGCGGCACCCTTTGGAAATTTTAACAAACTTGTGGCACCCTACAACATTAATTCTGTCACAATATTTGAATTTCTAACTTCGATATGATAATTTGAAAAGTATAGATATTCGGTACAACAGGGAAGAACTGCAGAATATAATGTCATACAGATATTTTTAATATTATTTTAAAAATTTGTCATATCAATGGTGGCAATAATATTAAAAAAGGATTTTTTACACGGCACCCCTGCTCTCAACAGGCGGCACCTCAGGGTGCCGCGGCACCCCGGTTGGGAAACACTGGTCTAGAGACTGCAGATATTCAGCAAAATTACTGCCAAACAGAAATTACTTCTCACAAAGAAACACATGTCAATCGGCTGGATTTAACTCTTCTTGTAATGTTATGTATAGAAGGAATTTCTTTAATGTATTTATTAAAATTATTATTAAAAGCAAAACTTACATAGAAATAAAAATGTGGATTGATTGTATCCTTACTATATGAATATAGAGTTGGTTTTATGATGGAGCCCAATACTACAATTAATGTTTAAAAGATAATTTCTAAATAACTTTTTCGCAGAAACCGTGTGGAATCTCATTAGTACCACAAAACAGGTCAATTAAATATTTACTATGTCAAGATTCAAATACTTGAATCTCTATAGCAGTGTGATAAAAAATAGCTTAGTAACATTTTATGCAAAATAGTTATATATCGGTAATATTGCAGAAATTTTACGAGATTTATCAGTAATTTCTTGCAACATCTATCTATCTATCTATCTATCTATCTATCTAATCATCTATCCATCCATCCATCCATCTACCTATCTATCTATCTATCTATCTATCTATCATCTAACCATCCATCCATCCATCCATCCATCCATCCATCTATCTGTCTATCTATCTATCCAAAAATATACATTTAATTCTAACAGTAGGTTTCTAACAAAAGTTACTGTGCAAATGCAACATCCATTAGCTAAGAACACACTATAAATTTACATAAATTGTTACAGCATAAACAATGACAGTATGAATATCACTGTCCTCAATAACAGCTTGATGATAAAGTGCAAATAAAGAACAGGCCGTGTGTTAGTCTGTAAATAAAATGTAGCATTAATTCACTTTCAGATCTCTTTCAGAAGCATTTCTGGGCTCTCGTGAGAACGATCCCCTCGAGGCTTTAGAAGCTCCTCGTTGCTAAATGGACTGAATTCTATTTTGATTATTCACAAAAAAGTAATTAGGGAATTTAAAGCTAAATAAATTAACTTATTTTAGGGCGCCAGAGATCACAATGTGGCTGGGAAGAGCACCAGAGAATGTTTTCTTTAGGATTTGGATCACCGAGCATATAAAATGTATAACCTCTCCAGGCCCTGAAAAGCTGAAATAATATATTCGAGAAATGGGGATGAATTCAATTAGCAGAGACCTCACAAAAGAGGGAGACATCTAAGCAGGAATTCTCACACAGGATGCAATGAATTTCTTTGGGAATGAGATTTTCCCATCTCTTAATCCTGCAGGCTTATGGAGAATTGTTTGGCGCTTCATTATTGATTATGAATAAAGGAGAAAAGATTAAATTGACTGAGGTGAGTTCATTCTGCTCGAACAAAATCACTAGCCCTAGGAGAGATTTTTTTATTTGTCTATGAACAAAATCTGAACGTTAAACTACTTTTTTTTTCTATGGTGAAGCTCCTCAAAGAAAAGATGAGGCCTTTTATTGGTTTTTCTAACATGGGAAATTATGAGTTTAATGCAGGTTTGTCTTATATATACATAATTTAAGAATACATTAACTATATACTTTCATGACTCTATAACATAATTGTTTGTCATGGTAACTATAGTTTCAGCCAAAATACCACATTACAATTATTGTTAGTATTGTTTTTTTTAAATGACAATAAATTATATAAATGATATATAAAATAAATGATATAATATCTCTAAATTATGTAATTATATTATATATAATTACACATACATTTATATAAATTACTCTAACAGAACTATTCACCATAGTGTATATATAAAAAATATTATTTAATTTATATAATTTATATAAATTAATTTTTTTTATTTAATTTTGTACATTATCGAAATATTTTATTGCTATATCAATAAATACTTTAACTGTGATATTTGGTGGGAAACTGTGTTTAGCTGAAGTTTTCTGTGTAGCTTCATCTTTTCAGCTGGTGTTTATCTCTCCGCTCCCTTGTGTAGCATCTCACGTCAGCCTCTAATTGTCGTATATGTTTGTAATTCAGGCCTTGTTAGG